TTTCTAGCTGAGTTAATGAGCACTTTTTGAACACTAAATGTCAGATTAAAATGCCAGACACGTTACTATGTGCATTTACACTAAATAGCAATAAAAATTTGGGTCTGAAGACCAAATGTCAAATATTCTCTCGCTTTTGGCGTTAACAAAGAAAAGCAAAATATGGGAGACCCTTGTTCATTAAAGCTTAAAAATTACATAAATCAATTCCACTCCTACAATACCAGAAATTCCCAGGCCTACCGTCTACCTTATTGTCGAACAAACTCTAAGAAGTCCTAGGCCTTTTTCCAAGGACCTAAGTTTTCTAATCAGTCATTTGACACCGAGGTCATCAGCTCTCAATCCTTTTCCTCTTTTAGGAAAATACTGAAGATGAAATTAATGAGTGAATCAGTTCATAAATCTTCCATCTTCGACTTTTCGCCATCTTTTCTTCAATTGATGTTAAACAGCCCTAGCCCGTACTTCGAGGAGGCCTAACCTCTCATAAGCTCCTATAGTTTCTGTTAGGTCTCCTGGCAAGCTCTTTTTTTCTACTTTTCTTATATTTTGTAATTATTGTGTGGCAAATAAAATATAATAAATAAATATTCGATAACAAAAGTTAAGATGGGTTCTTTTTTTGTCAGATATTTCGGCAATGAAGCTGTTCATCATATTGTCTTTGTGCTTTTCGGTGTTGAGCACTGTTCTCGCAGAGGGGGGCGGTTACCGGGAACCGGATGATTATTGGACAAGGTGTTATAGTAAAAGATATGGGAATCCGTCACATGCGTGTCGTAGGGGCTACAATCGGATAGCAAAGGCGACACAGGTTGGTGTAATGTCCGGATGCAATTATTGGGAGTGGACGTACTATTGCTCCAAGAAACATACAAAAGCCTTTTGGGCAGGTAAGTTAAAGGCCGTTAAATTTACTGGTATATGTTGTATATTGCGGGCGACCAGTGGTGCCCATAATCCTCCTCTATTCTTTTTTAAGCTCAATTGGTTAAAGAATTATTAGCCTTGATTTTTGAAATTCCCGCCATTTTGTTACTATTTTTAAAAACCAGAGCACATTCCGAAATGCTACATTTTCTATCTACAGATCGATGGATCCGTAGATCGATGGATCTGTAGATCGCTGGATCAATAGAATTTAATGCCTCAGCATTAAATGGTAGTAGACTTCATCTGAATGCCAAAGGTTCGTCATTGCTGGCCGTGCAATTTATTAAGTTTTTAAGATCTGGTTCTGGCAAGTATAATCAGTCTCTTAAGGGTTTTCAGTCCTCAGCTATCCAACAACTGGTAAAGCTTCTGATGGAACTGGGAAACCTTCCCTCTCCAGCTCGCAACAGGAGACGCCCACGCTAGCTTCTCAACCGAGTGACGTATCATCAGGTATTCCTAATCAAAACGTTGATTCATTTGAAAGTACAATTCTCTCTGATTTTCTTCCTTCTGGTCGTGGTTTTAAAATTGCAGGTTTAAACATTAATAGTCTTACAAAGCATATTGATGAACTAAGAATTCTCCTTGCCGATCGCTCCATTGATATTCTCTCAATTAATGAAACTAAACTTGATGACTCTATCAATAGTTGTGAGGTCCAAATACCAGGCTATGAATTTATTCGTCGTGATAGAAACAGACAAGGAGGAGGAGTAGGTTTTTATATAAAAACCTCGATTAATTTTGGAGTTCGCTCTGATTTGAATGCACCCAGTCTTGAAAATTTATGTATAGAGATTCGGAAACCAAACTCCAGGCCATTTCTGATAGCCACTTGGTACAGACCTCCTTGCTCCTCAATTGATTTATTTTTACCTTACGAATCATTTCTTGAGAAATTAGATTCCCTCGGCCTAGAATATTATCTGCTAGGTGATTTAAACTGTAACCTGGCCTCTGCACAATATGATTTAAATACTCGACGCTTATGTGAAATTTCTGATTTATTTGGGCTTCAACAGCTTATAACTGAACCTACTCGCATAACGGAATCCTCTTCAACATTAATTGATTTAATTTATACAAACTATACTGACAGGGTAGTCTGTTCCGGAGTCTCTCATATTGGTATCAGCGATCATAGCCTTATTTACGTTTATAGGAAATTATCTCTCACTTTTCCTTCAAAAGGGCACTCAACCATTTCTTATAGAAATTTCCAAAATTTTAATAGAGAGAGTTTTCGGAACGATATCGCCCAGCAAGACTGGTCCTGTAATGTTTCTGAAGATCCAAATGTTTTGTGGACTAACTGGAAAACGAAGTTTTTGGATATTGTTAATATTCATGCGCCACTCCGAACTAGACGTACTAGAACAAATAAAGCACCCTGGATCAATTCAGAATTAAAGAAAGGCATGCGTGATCGTGATGCTGCCAAAAGAAAAGCAATTACATCGAATGATCCACACGATTGGAAAAGGTACAAAAAGTTGCGAAATATAATAAACAATGACATCAAAATTTCTAAAGCATCTTATTATTCTAATGCATTTATTCAATCTAAGGGTAATCCTCGAAAAACGTGGCAAACCTTTAATGAGCTTACATCCCGTCGTGTGAATAATACAACGGTGAAGGAACTGAAATTGAATGATACCATTATCTCTAATTCTAGTGAGCTTTCTGATGCTTTTAATGACCATTTTTCAACAATTGGGCCCAGACTTGCTAATGAAATACCTCTAACTGCTGAAAATAATTCAAGTTATATCAATAATATAAAGGTAAATAACAACAATTTCAGCTTCTCCTCGACTAACTGCAGCATTGTTT